CGTATGAAAGAGAAGGGCCAAGATGAACACACAGAATAACTCTAGAAAAAATACATAATTTGGGGAACAAAAGGAGCTTTTGAAACTTCAATATCCTCAGGAAGATTTGAGAAAATATTTCATGTGTAAAACAAACAAAAAAGGTGATATGAAAAAGAGGAAGAACAAATAATTAGAAATTAAAAACATGATTGTGAAAAGTAATTAGTTGACAGGATGAAAAATAAAATGGATACAGCTTAAAAGTAAACTATGTTTTTCTACTCTACTCTGGATGCTTCCTTCTGCCTCCAAGTGTGTGGCATTTTTCCCACGTAGACCAATTGTCCCACACCAGCTGGGTGTCCTACAATTCCATTCAATTCTGACACTGTCTACCTGGAGTTAGCGTCAGATCCCGCAGGTTAAGGGGTCAATCCCACAAGACTGCCTGCACTTCGGATGCCAATGGTAAGTCCAGATCTCCTGTACTTCTGTCTGACTGGCTGTATAAATCAGGAGCTCCCACAACTCCCATCTCGGGTTTGATAATTTGCTAGAACAGTTTACAGAACTCAGGAAACAGTTTACTTACTGGATTACTGGTGTATTATAAAAGGATACAACTCAGGAACAGGCAGATGGAAGAAATGCATAGGACAAAGTACAGGGGAAGGGGCATGGAGCTTCCAAGTTTTTTCCTGGTGTGCCATCTTTGCTGCAACTCCTTGTGTTTACCATTGTGGAAGCTCTCCAAACTCCTTTGGTTAGTATTTTTTATGGAACCTTCATTACATAGGCATGGTTGATTAAATCATTGATTAACTCAACCTCCAGCCCCTCTTCCCTCCCTGGAGGTTAGGGGTGGGGCTGAAAGTTTCAACTCTCTAATCACCTGGTTTGTTCCCCTGGCAACCAGCCCCCAGAACCTTAGGGGCTTTCCAGAAGTCGCTGCATTAACAGAAACTCAGGTATGGTGGAAAGAGGTTTGTTAATAATAACAAAAGACGGTCCTTTGACCTTTATCATTCTAGAGCTATTTCAGGAACTGGGGACAAAAACCAAATATTTATTTATTGTATTACATTAGGAACTCTGTGCCAGGAACCAGGGATGAAGACCAAATATGTATTTCTTATCATATCACAGTATCACACAGCTGAAAATCATCTTTGTTATTCTGGACATGACATGGAGGAAATATCCCTGAATATTGAGTAATAAGACAAAGAGATGGAAAATAAAGGAAAAATTTTAGCAAAAATAGATCAAGAGGTCTAATAACTTGACTAATAAAAGTTTTAAAAGGAGTAAATACAGGAGAAGAAACAGTTTTAAAAATAACAGAACATTTTTCTGATCAGAAGAAAGATATAAGTCTTTTGACTGAATGGGCTCTCCACGTGCTGAGTAAGATGAATTTTAAAAACTACTCACATTTAGTTGCATCCTGGAGAAATTCCAGTTAATGAGAAAGAGAAAAATTCCAAAATCCTTTAGAAGAAAAAAATCAAATAAATGAAAATCAAACTCATCAGTAGAAGCTATAAATCAAGAAAAATGTCTTCAACATTATGAAGGAAAATGATTTTGAATCTAAAATTCAAGCAATCAACAAAGTTTGATGGCAAGGTAGAGACGTTTTCCAACATGAAACAACTCAGAAATTTTATTTACAAACATGGACTTATTGTGTGAAAAAAGTTATTCGAGGTAATATTTTAGCACAATGCAAAATGAATTGAAGAAGGGGGATGGAATGGCATTCAGGAAACATTGGTAGCTGAGTGAGACGCAGAGGGTGGAGAAGACACTGACAGCAAAAGGGCATGGAAAATTCACTCTCAAAGTTTTAGTAAGATAGGATTATATTTTATTTATTATGTAGTCAAATATACCACTTGCTTTTTAGAGCATACTATTTACACAATCATAATGTTGTAAATGCTGATTATTGGTTTTTAGTGTTTAGAAACAACCTATAGACAAATTACGAGAAATTTAATTATTTTACAGAATAGGATGAAAATATTATGAATCTCAGCATTGTGAAAATATTTCATTAACTAAAACTAAAATTAGAAGTGTGAGAGAAGGAAGGATAGAAAGAAGCAGGCTAATTTTCTTATCTCTCATTGGTACCATAGAGTTGATAAACCAAGTCAGAGGTTTTACTGAATAATTTGAATTTAGAATGACTAACTTTGAAGAACTAAAAACAGAAACTGTCATTAGCGGTTGCTGCTGGGAAGTGAAACTGGTGCTAGGTGATGGGTGGGAGAAACCTTTGTACCCATTTAATACAAGTTTCTATTTTTTCTTTTAACCATATGCATGTCTTACTTCTATTTTCTCTGGTGGCTTTAACAGTTTTCTCTTTATCTTTGAGGTTATACACTTACACTACCTTGTATTAATAAATATATTCATTTTTATTCCTCCCACTTGAAGCATTGCGTCCCTTTTTTTAAAACCTGAGAATTACTAACATTTTCCCATTCTGGACAACTCTTTGCCATTCTGTCTTTCCATTTTGTCTCCCTAGTCTCACAGTTCTGTTCTATTAGAAAGACTATTAGAGTATATTTGAACTTCTTCTTCTTTTTTTTTTTTTTTGGTGAGGAAGATTAGCCCTGAGCTAACATCTGTTGCCAATCCTCCTCTTTTTGCTGAGGAAGATTGGCCCTGGGCTAACATCCCTGCCCATCTTCCTCTACTTTATATATGCCATGCCTGCAACAGCATGGCTTGGTAAGTGGTGCATATGTTCGAGCATGGGATCCGAACCTTCGAACTCCAGGCTGCCAAAGCAGAGCATGCGAAATTAACCACTATGCCATCGAGCCGGCCCCTGAACTTCTTATTATTGTTCTTTCCCTCCCCATGTTTCTTAACTTCTTCATATTTTTCTTTCTTTCTCTCTTTGTGATATAATTTGAGTGATTTCCACAGATCTGTCTTCCAGTTTCATTACTCTCCCTTTAGCTGAGTTTTCTTTATTTCAATGACTATATTTTTTTTTAGAATTCCTTTTTTGGCTTTTGTTCAAGCTAGCCTGATCTTCTTTTACAATGTTCTTATTCTATGGATATTTCTTATTTTGAATCTTTTTATTACTCTTTGTTATATTAATTTTAGTCCCTTTTGAATTGCTTCGCTATCTGTAGTTACTCAGGCATGAATCTTATCATTTCTTATGCCTAACGACACTCATCCTAATGAGTTTCCATGTGTGTTTTGTAACTTTTGTAATTCAGAGTGTGAGCTCATCTCAAGTGTGAGTTGCCCTCCATAGATGTGCTGCTGCAGCACTGGATTGTGGAGGCATTCCCATGCAGTTGTTTCATATTTGTCATGGGATTTGTGGATTTCATGAGTTACAGAGCAATTTTTATGTTAATTTCTCTGCTCAGGATTTCCTTACCAAATGGGTAGTGCACATTCCAGAACCATACCTTCCAAGAATGATGGTGTTTCTATGAATACAGTAGTCCCTTCTTATCCACAGTTTTACTTTCTGCAGTTTCAATTGCCTGTGGTCAACCGTGGTCCAAAAATATTAAATGGAATATTCCAGAAATAAGCAATTCATAAGTTTTAAATTGCACACCATTCTGAGTAACATGATGAAATCATATACCATCCCACCTGGGACATGAATCATCCCTTTGTCCAGCATATCCACACTGTATGCACTACTATCCATTAGTCACTTAGCAGCCATCTGGGTTATCAGATTGACTGTCACGGTATCACAGTGCTTGTGTTCAAGTAATGCTTATTTTACTTAATAGTGGCCCAAAGTGCACGAGTCGTGAAGCTGACAATTCAGATATGCCAAAGATTAGCCATAAAATGCTTACTTCAAGTGAAAAAGTGAAAGTTCTCAACTTAAGAAAAAAAATTGTATCCTGAGGTTGCTCAGATCAACGGCAACTTTTATTACAGTACATTGTTATAATTGTCCTATTTTATTATTAGTTATTGTTGTTAATATCTTACTGTGCCTAATTTATAAATTAAACTTTATCATAGGTATGTATGTATAGGACAAAGCATAGTGTATATGAGGTTCGGAACTATCTGTGGTTTCAGACATCCCCTGGGGGTCTTGGAACATATCCCCCATGGATAAGAGGGGACTACTGTATAATGGTTCAACAAGAATTGTATGATTTTAATAGTAAAAATTTTGGAAAAAATTGTATCAACAAAATATAATGGATTCAAAGAATTTTTTTTACACAATGCCAGTCCACCCCTTCTCCCTTTACAATTGAGGAAAATGACATCCAAAAAAGTTAAAGAACTTGTGCTGAGATCTGATGAATTAGACAAAGCAGAGCCTAAAATCTAGATCTCTTTGTTGTTAAAATGCATTTTAATTTTATATGGATGGTGACTGACGCTGATTCAAAGATAAACCTGTACTTCCTTTTGTTACTATTTTTAACTTTGGCTTCATGACCCAAGTGCCTAAAGGTGGTTCCCTAAGCCTGATCCTACCCTATGTTGCATGTTATCAAGCATTGTGGTGGTGTTAATTCTTTCATGCCCAATTAACGGATTAAAGTAGTAATTCTCTTGTGTTACTGCTAGTAGAGACACTGATAGATTCTGTCTTGGCAGATCTTCCTTAATCAACAATTTACTTTTGTTGCCATTTCTTTTAATTCATGCAATCTGCTTACAAATACCTGAAGCTTCTTGAAGACTGCTGCCAGGTCTTAAGTTTTATTTTTTTTCTCCCCATGGTGACTAGCAAAGTACTTTCCATGTTCCTATACATAGGCACTCTACAAATATCTGCTGACTTGGCAATTTATTAATAATTTTCCTTCTTCTCCATTTTCCATTCTTGAATTGGGTAAAGGAACCTTTCCAAACATATGTATGTGAAATTTTCAAGAGTTTACTTCCTTTTTGTGCTTTTACAGAGACGATACTCAAAGTAGGTGATTCATATTCATTTATCTCATTTAAAGAAAGTCATAATGATTTATTTTGTGTTCTGTTTGCAGAACAGAGTGTTCTGAACATCAACACAACGTGGCAGGAACCTTAAGCTGAAGGTACAGTATCTTGTTTACACTGAAGGAGCTTGTGTGTGGACAAGAGAGCGCTGACAGCTCAAATGGATCCCATGGAACTGAGAAATGTCAACATCGAACCTGATGATGAAAGCATCGGCGGAGAAAGCGCTCAAGATAGCTACACCAGGATTGGAAATTTAGAAAAGGCAGCAATGAGCAGGTATGGGGTTAAAAATGACAAGGTTCCATGGAAAAATAAGAGAGTTTTCTGGATGTGAAAAACAAGATTTTTGTCAGGAAGAATTGGATTTATTACCAATCGGAGAGAGAACAATGACATTGATGTTAACACATCAACTCTCCGATCCTGATGTACACGTTATTATATCATTATTACATGTCAATCCTTTGTGTGACTAATTTAGAATCGAGGTTACAGGATTCTTGTCCCCATTAATAATGTAGATTAACTAATTTTAGTAGCCTATCACTCGTATTACCTTTTGGACTATTCGCTCTCAGCTTCCTCTTCCTTTGACTGCCCTTTTAATGTTGCTGCATCTCATTCTTCTGTAGGGATTCTTTTCTCACTGGAAGTGTCCTATGAGCAAGCTCATTCACAACTCTCATGGCTTCACCCACTGAACATATGCCATGTCTTCAGCCTGTTAGACTTCTCAACTGAATTTCAGATCATTATATCCAACTGTTTACTACACATCTCTACTGGATGACTTGTGTGTCTGAACTGCCTCATTTATAAAGTCAAACTTGTAATGTCTAATGCTGAGCTCCTATAATTCCCTTCAATATCTGCTCCTCCTCCAGTAATCCTCATCTTGGTGAAAGTCACCACTATCATTCAGCAACTCATTCAAAAGATCCTAGGTGTCAACTTTGACTCATTCCTTCCCCCAAACCACACGTCTATTGTTTGATTATATCCAGTTCGTTCTACCTCATTAGTGTTTCAAATCCACACTCTTCTCTGTATCTATTCTGTTGCCATCTTACTTTAGGCCCTCATCATCTGTCACCTGTCTATTAGAACAGCCCAGATTTGTCTCCTTGTCTTACCTTTTGCTCTCTTCCAACTAGCCCTCCACATCCCTACAAAAGTAATCTTTCATAACTGCAAACTGATTCGTACTCCATCCCTGGGTAAAGCCTTTCAGTGGCTCCCCATTAACTCTAAGGTAAAGACTAGACTATCCATTGCTTGGCATGTAAGGCCCTTCATGTTCTGTGCCTGACCTAGCTCTCCTCTCCTACCTCTTGCCCTGCTCCCTGTTTGTACCCTCTTCTCTAGCCTTGTGGAGCCACTCACAGCTCTCTGCGCCTTCACTCATTCTGCTCTGTCTGCCGCGAGTGCCCTCTTTTAGTATCATTCTCCCACCTTCCCCTTTCTCTCTATTAACACTTCTCATCCTTCAAGACTCAGCTTAATGTCAGGTCTCCTGCTAAGCCTTCCTCCAGGTGCACTCCCTCCTTTGTGCACCCTCTCTCTGTCCAGATGTTCATCATGTCACTACAACAGGTTAATGGCCTCTGTGATCCCAACACATATCACAGTGCCTGGTACATAGTAGGTGCATGATAGTTATTTGATAAGTAAATTAATTTCTCACAAAATGTTATGTAACACAAATTATGCATGACTTAGGACGTGCAGAAGTGAATTTTTGACCAAATCTAGACCTCAAATTGAGAATATTATCCTCAAACAAGGACGTCTCGTTTCATTCATCACATCCAGGAAAGGCCCATCAGGAGGAAGCACTGTTCTTCCTCCAAGGGAGCAATGCAGTAAACTTTAGTGTAGTCGGACTAGAGAGACTGTGGAGATGTAAATCACGTCGTCTTCTAGGTTGGGCGACTCTTGAGGAGGCACAATATGGTAGAACCCAGGGCTCTGGAATCTTCAGAGTAGTTGCCTGACTTTGGAGAAGTTATTTATCTTTTTGGGGGCTTCAGTGGAAAACGCAGAATCACAAACTAGTACCTACTTCCCTGCGGATTAAATGAGTACCTGGAGGACAGAGGAGACTCAGTGAACTTTTGTTCTCTCTCCTCCACTTCATCACCCCTAGTAAATCCATCGAATCTGAGGGCTCGTTTGTTTCTGAGAAGGATGCATACAGATATGAGCTCTGCAGAAGTGGCCAAGCTGAAGGGGACACTGTCCCCAAAACAGTTTTACAGTCTTTGATTTGGTCCTCTAAAAGCCACAGTGGAAAGAGCAAGAATGCTTTTGTTAAGCTTCATGTAATGTTTTCTGGATCACTTACAGTCACTTAGCTTTTAACTCCTCACTCAAACACGAGTCATCATTTTGCAATTTTATAATCACTTTAAAAAATGAGTTTTGTTTATGTTTGCGTTGGATTGATCCCTAAAATGTAAATTTTTGGGAAATTCAACATAATGCATTTATTTGGAATCATTACACTTATGTTTTCAATACATGCTGGGTTTGATATCAAAACATTTCAGACACTGGGGACATTCCTCATGTATTTTATACAATCTTGGCATGTTTTATGACTGCAACTCATCTCATGCCAAAATAAGAACATGCAAATGCCTCAAAAAAGAAAATCTATTTACTTTCACATTCTAAATTTTCAAAACTACTCATGAACTAAGGGATTCTAGTTTATTGATTAAAGTAAAAAAGAGAATGTTGAACATTCCAGAGTTTAAATCCAGATGACATTTTTGTTTTTATAATCCTTAGGCCTATTTTAGGCTCCATTTCATCTTATTGTCCACTATGAACACTAAGTACCAGTCTCCACATAGCAAGTATATTAACTACAGACTATTAAAATAAAGCACAAAAAGGAAGGGGGAGTGGAGTACAGAGATGGACGAAAGCAGCATCTGAGAGCCTTATGCTTCCTACCAGAAATAGGAGGAGAATGTCAGGAAATGTGCCTAACTTGTACACTGTCAGGTTCTAGAAACCCACTGCTTGGGTTCTAGAAAAGCACATAAAATTTTGTGATTTTTGTCTGCTGGTTCTGTCTACAACTCGTATTATTCTCTATTCTCAAAAAAGGAACCTTGTTATCCCTCTTTCTCACAAGATATTTTCAGGATTAGCTCCTATTATAAAAGATAATTTGTACAAATCTCTTATAACAATTATTTTCCACTTTTTTATTCCTAAGAGTTATTTTAATCAAACACTTTCCAATTATTTGATCTTACTCTCTCACGCAAGAAATGCCCTAAAAATTGCAATCTATCTAATTATAAAGCACTTTAAAGATGCATACATAGTTGAACATTTCATATAACGAAAAGAAAGCCTGTGTGATATTTTGCAGTGTCAGAATGCAATAGTGGAAGCGGGACTCATTAGTCAAGCCTTTTGGAAGTGTGGCTGGTGCTAGATCCGTATCCTCAAAGCGCCTGGCACGTGCTGCGGGAGCCGACCAGTACAGAAAGGGAGTGCACAGCTTCCAGCCTCTGCCCAAGCAGACCACGATCACGGGGTTCCGTGGATAGTGACATTTTAAAGTCTCACTTCCATCCCAACTCCTCTACTAATTCATTGGGTTTCTTTAATATTTTTCTTGGTTTTCTCCATTGTCTAATAACCCAAGTACTCTTTCAGAGTAGTTAAAAAACACACACTCACTTACGAAAACAACCTAACATAATACAGAGATACCACTGAACTACTTTCTAGCAAGTGATATGTGAATAAACAGGTGGAGCCAAAAAAGGGGAAAATACCAGCTACAGGGCCCTGCCTGGGACTGCAGGGTGCTGTGGCAGACCCTAGACTTGCAGTCTGGTGGGTGTGGGCATGCTACTTCACCTTTCTGAGCCACAGTTGCCTCATCTTTAGAGTAGAGTTCCTCTCATGGGGATATTTGAGCATTAAATGACAGGAGGATCACAGCACATAGGCACTTAATAAATATTTCTTGGATTAATAAAATCATCTGATTATGGTGTGTTAGTAGTTGAGAAAACTCAGTCACTGCTCTGTACCCTTTCTTTGGAAGGGCTCAAAATGGGAACAAAATTAGCTCTGATTATTCTTTCTGGCGTAGTTAATGTGGGAAGAAAAAGTGGCTTAAAAATGATCCCAACTAAAAAAATATTTTCTTCCTTCATTACTTCCTCCAACCCTTCCTCCCAAAGTACATTCATAAATGGGTCTCAGGTGTTGGTCTGGAAGGAACACTAGTATGTAGAAAAAAGAGTTTTAGGTGTCTTGTTTTTCCTTCCCTAATTCAGTTACTTAGATCACCTGAAACATAAATATAATTCAGAGCATTTACTTAGATGTTTTTATGTTCTTGTTTTCCTTTTTTTGTGTGTGCATTCAGTCAATTTGCTAATGAAGATGATGAAAGTCAGAAGTTCCTGACAAATGGATTTTTGGGGGAAAAGAAGCTGGCAGATTATGATGATGAACATGTAAGTGAATCTCTGCTGTCGGGCAGTAAACAGGACTTGAGGGTGTCTGATCTACCTAGGTCTCTGCAGGAAAACAATGTCACTGAAATTTTCCAAGCCTTCATCAGCACATTCTCTGTTTATTCAGGCCCTTACTGGAATAAGGGCTTGTTTTTCCTGTTCGCCATATGGCTGTATAAATCATTTATGAAATTTATTTGTTTTTTTGGAGAAATCATTCTAACCCAAATGTAATCTGCAATCATACATGCTTTCCCTTCTTTGTGTTACTTGACCTGTATTTTTTATTTTTACCAAAATCCCTGCTGAAACCAAGAGCTACATTCCATTGAAAATCACACGCTTTTATTGAAATTGAGTAATGGCTTTTAGTCACTGTGATTTTATCTTAGTCTTCTATTTTAGACCATAATCTCCTCTAAAAGAGATAATGTGAGAAAAAGAATAACCCAAAAAAGGTTCATCCTTTGGCAAATATTTGTTTATAATGCATCCCTTTTTCTTCAAGCATCCTGGAACCACGTCCTTTGGAATGTCTACATTCAACCTGAGTAATGCCATCATGGGTAGTGGAATCTTGGGCCTGTCCTACGCCATGGCCAACACAGGGATCATACTTTTTATGTAAGTGAATGGACACATCTGCATTTGATTCAAAGGTTGTGCGTATCTGGTGTTCTTTCAACTCACAATCTGAAGTTTGATCTTTGTGAACAGGAATAATCTGAGAAAGTATTAGCATATTGCTCTTGCTTTCAGATAAAACAACAACCTGAGGAATAGTCAAAGCAGTCTAATCATAGTACTTGTTCAACCAACCGGCCCTAACCCAACGGCAGAAAGTCTATGTGCTGAATCACCAGAAGTGCTGGAGCAGCGCCCCCTGCCCCCCAGGCCATAGGAACCATTTTACACAGTAATTCATTGTTCAGTGGATGCTTAAAATAATATGGTGATCTTTCCCAGAAGCAAATCTGACATTATCCCACTCTTAGGAAAAAGACCCTATCCCAAACCAGGCCTACAGATCCCTGCGTTCCCTCATCCCATCTCATGCCCCATCCCTTGTGTCCCTGGGCACCAGACATGCTGGGCACACTAGTCTTCTCTCCATCCTGTGCAGGTGCCATGTTCCCTTGCACCATAGGGCCTTTGCACATGATCTTGGAATCCTTTTTCCTTTTCCTTTTCGTCTAGTTAACTCCTCAAACCTCAGCTCAGCCTCACCTCAGTGCTGCCTTCCCTGACCTCCATGACTGGGCCAGACCACCTTATTGTACACTCACCAGTATTTTTTTTTTTTTTATGAGGAGGATCAGCCCTGAGCTAACATCCGATGTCAATCCTTCTCTTTTTTGCTCAGTAAGATTGGCCCTGCACTAGCATCCGTGCCCATCTTCCTATACTTTACATGGGACGCCACCACAGCATGGCTTGACAAGTGATGCGTGGGTGCACGCCTGGGATCAGAACCTGCGAATTCCGTCCGCCAAAGCCGAGTGCGCGCACGTAACCTCTGTGCCACCAAGCCAGCCCTACACTCACTAGTTTTAATATTTTAGTGCAGTTGTCTGATTCATTTGGTTAATGTCTGTCTCCCTTGCCAGACTATAATCTCCAGAAATTTGAGCCCATGTCTGTTTTTACTCACCACATGCCTGTATCCCTAAGACCTAGCACAGTGCCTGGCACAGAGAATATTTGCAGAGTGGCGGAAGCTTATTCCTAAACCTATGCACTTTAACCAAACTCGGTCAAATGTTGCCTAAGGGTAGCAGCGTCACATAGCTGACCCGGAGGGTGGATGCCGCATCGTCTGTGACAGACAGGCACAGACATTTGTGTGCATTACATATGGCCTGGTATTTTCCAAGACACAGTTGGCAGCAGTGGAATTCTTCACAGAAATAAAGTCTGATGTTAGGCATCTGTGTGAATGCAGATCACAATCCCTAATGCAATGCTGGAGAGTTAAATAACTGTCTAAGAATGCAGCATTTATATTATAAATGTACACTATTTATGTTCTGAGCACCACTTATGATTAGATAATCACACAGCTATTTGAGGGCTAAGGATTAGGCAGGACTATAAATATTTATATTGTGTTAGTGCTTTATATTGTGTCAGTGCTTTTTCAGTGTTTTAGGTATAATATTTTTTAGCTGAATGGGTTTTTATATCAACTTTGCTTTTATAAACCATATTTGAAATAAGCTAGTTTTTTTTCTTCTTTGAATCTTAATAGCTAAAGATGTATTCATATATGTATTTGTACCCTTTTGTAATGTACATTATCTCTCAGACAAAAAGACTGCCTTCTCCTTATTAATTATACATACCATTCAAATAATTAGGGAGTTATCATAGGTCACTGATGAATAGAAAAAAATACACTTCCCCCAATCATAGAGCCACAGATCATTCTCATGGGAGGAGAATATTCCACTTTTAAAACCGAGGGCCTTACTTCAGGCCTATAACCATGTAGCACATTAATTTGGCCCAAGCAATTAAATTGCTAGACATCATGGATATGTGTCTTATATCCGTGTAGCACAGACTGGATCAGCTATCTCTTTTAGTTCATAGCAAGTGACAGAGGATTTGATTGGTTTTAGTTTTAGTATTTTCTGCCAAAGCAAGTCTATGCTTGGAATACAGGGAATACTCATTATTTTTCCAGGGAACAAAATTATGTAATCTAAATTACATAATTCTTTAAAAACAGGTAAATTCATAAGGCATATGGAAAAATATATGAATAAGTCATTGATTAGACAGCTCCAGCAAACATATTTTATGGAAAATAAGAGCACAATATAGCGAGGACAGTTATAAAATTTTTAACTCCTGGTCCAAATGTACATTTACAACATTGACTTCATCAGGAATTACCAAAGAATTAGATCGATTGTGGGGAAATTGTTTAGCGTGCTCTCACTATGTAAAACAGACATAGAATAAGATTTGTTTTGAATTTCAGGTAAAGTTTAGTATTGTTCCAAAATTTATTATATAGATGCTTCTATCTACACTTTTGTTTTTGCTCTCCAATTCTTGTTTTTGGAGAAACACTGATCGCCATGTACGTGAAGAGACCACACCTGCCTATGGACACGTGGAGGGTCCCAAACCAGAAATGATTCTTTCTGAATACAACAAAGGAATTTTCCTGCACCCTATATTTACTTCTCTCTGCTTCTCTGTTACACAGGCGGTTGCCTGACCCTCTGGTTCACAAGGTGTCTTGTCATCTAATGTGAAGGATCGGTAGTAATGGAGCTCAGATTCTGCATGCTTTGGCTTCTGTATTTCTAGATTTTAGATTAAGGTTTAGTCAGACTGTTGAAAAGTCCTTCAATTATAAATGTTGATGCATATATCATGCAAATATGATGGCATATACCAATAGGTTGGGTAAGTAGATACAGTGTTCGCTCATTTGCTATACATTTAGCGTCTAAATTATGAACCAGATGCTACTACTGGGTCACGCTAAAAAAAAGATATGTTAGGAAATTCAGGTAGTAGCTTTTGGCACATAAAATATGGCAAATTCCAGTTTGTGACATTAAAGATGTGTGGAGTTCCGAAAAGAATTTCTCAGCTTCCCCTAAATCCACATACTTTTGGAAAGATAATGATTGAAAAGATCAATGTGATACTCTACTGGAACATCTAACATTATTATGTCTTATTTGTTATAGAAACTTTATTTTCAACTCTCTATTCCCTCCACAGAATCATGCTGCTTGCTGTGGCAATATTATCACTCTATTCAGTTCACCTCTTATTAAAGACTGCCAAGGAAGGAGGTACGCTACTCCTTAAGTTCAAGATGTTCTATTTTGATTTTCGTCAAAGGGGATTTCAGTCTACAGCTCCATAACTATAGGATGATTTTGTCAATTTCGCATCTCATTTTCTTCTGACCCCAACGACATGGTCTCTCAATGTTTTTAGTTATTTGGGCAACTGAGAGGAGTGAAAGTCAACTGGCTCAGGTTGAAGCCAAATAGAAAAAGAGATTTTTGGTGGATGATGCAAATAACAGTTTTGACTTGCTGCATGGAGCTAACATGAATGAAGCCATTGCTTCTTGTTGGGAGAATATTTTAACATCTTTCATACTGGTTTTTGAGATTGGATCTTCTGGGATTATAATTTCTGTATGGTCTTTATTTACACGTTTGAGACTCCAGTGTGGAATTATATTTAGAGAAGTACTTTAGTCATTAAAATAATCTTTTTAACAAGGATATTTTATCTTTGATTGTAGGGTCTTTAATTTATGAAAAATTAGGGGAAAAAGCATTTGGATGGCCTGGGAAAATTGGAGCTTTTATTTCCATTACAATGCAGAACATTGGAGGTAAGGGGATATAGCTTTTGATACACTGCTTAAACTTTCCTAAAGAATGTTCAATAAATAAGAAAACTGTTATGGTAATAAACAAGCACTTTAAATACAGGAAAATATCTGCTTTACAATTCCTAAATTTACGAAATAAATTTTCTTAAATAGATTTTCTGTTTCCCCTTAATTAAAAATAGCAATATCTATGAATGAAATACTCTATAAAACCCAACCAATTGAATTCTAGAATTAAAATATAGAATAAAACCTTTCTGGATTTCAAATGCTATTATGGATTTAATTATTACCTTTCAAAATTAAAGCATTAGTGTTTATTTCTGTCATTGCCAGAACAGTTGATGTGTCATATGTACGATTGAATTTATTTCATAAAATTTAAAATTAAGTGTCTGAGGGGCATAGCCAAATTTTGGGGTACTTGAGACATGAGCTTGCACAGAGCCAACCCATTGGAGACTGTCCCTAGAATTGGCTAAGGCAAAGATCTAGCTAGGCATCAGAAGTCCCTAGACCCATATTTCAGATGTCCCACTGGCTACATCCTCTTGCAGAAGCCAGACTGTATCCCCACATAGTGGCACTTATTTCCTCAACTACTTGCTTCTTCCCCAAACCTGCTATTCTATTCCTCTGTTCTTTCTTCTCTCAGTGAATGATACCAGCAGCATCCAGTTTCTTAAGCCAGAAATCTGGGTGTCAGCCTAAGCTTTTCCCTTTCTCCCTAACCTTGAACATCCAGTCAAATACCAACTCCTGTCCATTCTATCTTGTACTTGTCACTTGAATCTCTCCTCTCCTTCTGTTCTCACCACTACAGTTCAGGTGATCACCATTTCTAGCTCAGACTGTTGCAGGAGCCTTCCAACTGGTCCCCCTGCCTTGAACATCCCCTGCTCCCATCTCTAATTCATCTTCCAGATTCACTTTCTCAAATTCAAAGCAATTCTCATTTCTCCTGTGCGTAAAATTCTTGAGTGTATCCTCGTTATTTTCTAGTAAAATTTAAACTCTTTGTCCTGACACATAAGGCTCTTCATCATCTTTCCTCTCCCTACCTTTCTGATACCTTTCCTACCAACCTCCATGTCTATCATCCATCTATCTATCTGTCTATCTCTCTCTCTCTCTCTATGTATCATCTATCTATCATCTATCCATCTATCTATCATCTATTTCTACCCATCATCTATCACTATCATCTCTCTCTGTCTATCATCTATCTATCTATCTATCCCCTATGTGTCCTGTGTCATACCATAACAAACTGTATTCAGTTCCCCTGCTCTTGTGTCTTGCATCCCTAACACACACACACGCACACATTCTCTCTCATGGGTGTGTGCACGCACTTTCTGTTTGCTCACACAATCCATCACTTCTCTAGGCAAGTAGGTAGCAGTTCCTCTGGGCTCCCTTGGCCCTGTTGGTATGTATCTGGTCTGTTACTGTTTTTAAAAAGATATGTTAAAACTCTTGAATAGAGAATAGACTTTTGGAGGCTGATGTACCTGAACTTGAATCTGTTTCTGTCACTATCTCTGACCTTGGAAAAATCAGCTTACTCCTCCGAACCTAATTTTTCCACCTATGAAAATGAGAGTAATATCTCATCCTCAGAAGTTCATTATGAGGATGAAACACGATAACATACTGCGCATAATAAGGGTTCAGTTCATGGTTCCTTCCTCCCTGGTTCTCGGACTCAATATCCATGTCTCTGGAGCCTTCCTGATAATTTGTTAAATGGGTATTTTTATAATTATAAAACAAAAATCTGCTAATTGTGAAAAGCTAAAACATTACGTAAATACGTAAGTTACAAAGAAATGTTTATGTAAGTCACCCTTAGAAATAACTACTCCAGGTTTTCCTCTATGCCAAATTTAACAAATATACTATTACTGATAAAATTGGATCATCTTATAAAACTGATTTGCAGCTTACTTTTTTATTTAACAATATGCCTTGAGTGTATTTGCATACTATTCTTTTTAATGGCTTTCAAGTTTTCCGTTGTACAAATGTACTGTAATTGGTTTACTGAAGCCCTCAGTGATGAACAGTTGGATTGTTCCCAGTTATTCACTTTTACAAATGATGCTGCAATAAATAAACTTGCACAGAGATCTTGCAAGGAGGTAACCCTTTTTGATAAATAAAATCACTGGAGTTATCTAGAATTTCTGAAATGCAGCAATTCCTTTAATAACCTTTATCCTGATAACCAACTATTCCTGCTCCTGATAATGGATAGTTGGTAAGCAGATAAATAAAATCCAGCCATATCTTAATGATTTGTTTTTATTTCTTTTCATATTTTTATATATTAAGACTGTAATACCTGGGTAGAATTTGACAGTAACACCAAGATTGTTTCATTAATTTTACTGGTTTAGGGCCACAAGCATATAAATCCCCTCCCCCACCAAATAGACTGTTGTAATTTACTTGTTTGGACAACTGAAATAATGGGACATACACGTATTTAGCCCTGAACCCGACAGGCTGAGTGGCAACAGCACTGTCTGCTGCTCAAAGTGTAGCTATTGTTATGCTTCTAAATAATGAAATAAACTGAAAAGTGGATTCTGGATCAAACCACACACAAATGAAAAAAGTGTGGCTTTAAGAGGCAGTAAGACGAAATTTCGTACACCTTCCCTGAAAATGCTCTCACTTTGGTTACTCTATATGATTAGTGGTTATCTTGACCTAAGGCAAATCACTTGTATTTCTGTATTTAGCAATTCACACTTAGAACGTTTTTCTCATTCCCCTGAAAAATTAACCTTTACCACCATTATTAGCAGAATAATGTTGACATTACTCAGACAAGTCTGGATTATTCTGAATTTCAAAGACCAAACACATTAACAGCAGTGACATCACTGAAAGTCAGCAATTAATAGCTCTAAAATTGAATGGTACTGCGCTGAGCCAGTTCATCAGAAATATCTCCTCTGTTTACGCTCTGTAAGATTTAGCGTTAGCCAAGGCCTTTGTAAAGATTAACCAAATAATGTTTACAGAAGACACATCAAGTATTGTAAAAAATCACTTCACTTCACAATAGAGAAGAAATACTGGCCTGAAATCAGGGATCTTATATTTTGGATGTGGTCTGTCATTTTTAAGCTGTGTATGATCTTGGACATATTGAAAGCTCTCAAAATCTTTGTATCCTCAGCTGTGGAGTGAAGATAATACTATACATGCTGCTATTTCACATGGCTTTTCAGCTGGTCAAATGGAGTAATTTGAGGAACTAAACAAATGTGGGGAATTATTTTCACCATTATTACTTTTGTTTGAGGCTAAGGAAATTTTTATTTTTAAACTATTAATAGTTCAATTTACAACTTGGATACCTGCTTTAAATGTCTGTTAGCAAAAATTCACCAGCAGGATGTAGCACATGCTTAAATCTTGCGATGTAACACCTGTCAGTTTAATTTTTAGTTGAGTCTTTTGACCATGTGTCAAATAACAAATTAATATTACACTTCACTAAGTGGATGGACTTGAGGAAAGGGATGTTGCATAAATCCCTACAATTGTAGGCAAAATTGTGTGTTATGCATATGTATCCATATGCATTTTTCCAGAGAGATAGTTTATAGATTTCATCAGATTTTCGGAAGAATACATGATCACACATATATCACTTATCTAGACGCTCAAGAAATTTTGCCACTTTGCATAATTTGTTATTTGGCCAAAAGGAGACTAGGATATAGAAAATAAACTCCATTGACAAAGAAAGGAGACGGTATCATCTCTTGTATTCTTTTATCAGTCCAGTATGACTCCAGCTTAGACAATCAGTGTTCTGAGACTTAGTGTGCCCCTCAGGGAGATTACAGAGGACTAAACCAGTGCCCACCTGGAGAGAGCCAGAGGGACATGTAGTCTACCCAGTTCCACCCTGCAATTCTGTCCTGTCTCTTCTGGCCCATGTTTTTGGTTGCCAGACCCTTGCCCAAGTTTCAGACACTAAAACTGGCACACTCAGTACAGGCCTTGATGACTTATAGCTAATGAGGATAAAACTTAGAAACTGCAGCTTCACTGAAAACATCAGAGCTGGATTTAACCCAGAATCAGCATTGATACTGTCAGCAAAGGTCCAGACGCAAGAGCCAGAGGGCCAAATGTCTATTTTTGAAAAGAACTTGGAAGCGATACAGAATACACATTGGGTGGCTTTTTTTTTTTCATCTGTTTGGGGGATTAGATGCTCATCTTACTGAGAAGAATGGATGTCTCAAATGCCAGGACTTCTCACAACTTTCCTGTGATTTTAGTGCTGTGTACACCACTAAGCTGTCACGTTTTCCATTTTAGCAATGTCAAGCTACCTCTTTATCATTAAATATGAACTACCTGAAGTAATCAGAGCATTCATGGGACTTGAAGAAAATACTGGGTATGTCTTATGTTCTCTCTGTAACGTCAAGTGATTCATTCTACTTGGTCTTTTCTGATCCTAATATTCTTGCCTCTCTTTCTCTTCTAGAGAATGGTACCTCAATGGCAACTACCTCGTCATATTTGTGTCTGTTGGAATCATTCTTCCACTTTCTCTTCTTAAAAATTTAGGTAAAGTCATTTTTAATTTTTCTTTTCATTTTATATTCTAATAGCTAAGCTGATTGTAGATGCCATATTCACCTTCCAGAATTTCTCTGCTAACTCCTAGGTTACCTTGGTTATACCAGTGGATTTTCTCTTACCTGCATGGTGTTTTTTGTCAGTGTGGTAAGTGATTTATTGACATGATCTTTCTAGCCTGGTGAGCATGAGATGCTTTTAGTGCCTGAATTAGTGTCCACATTTTTGTTCAAGCACTTCACTAGCATGAAATAGTTCTTACATCACAAGCAATTTTCCTATATTCTAATTTGGAACGAGAAAAGAACAGTCATGTGTTTAAAAATAGTTGAGTTAGAACGTCAAGGCCATTACTAATAGTATGTTCTAGACACACTGAATGTATATTTGGACAAAAGGAATACTTCAAGCAGGAACGTGATGATAACCTAATATTTAGAAAGGTGGAGGAAGAAGAAGTGAGGAGTCTCAGAAGAGAAATGAGTAGGCTATAGAGTTAGCCATATCTGTGTGAATCAGCCATTTTCTCTTACAAATTCTACCCATGCAGAGAGGGCAACCACAGTGGAATTAAAGAAGAAATTCTTCTCCCTAGTGCCCCCAACACCCCCCAAAAGCAAGAATTTCTTATAATATGGATGCCAAAATTTGTACAGCATTTACCCAAAGAGGCAAAAGAGGAGGGGTGAATTTTCAGTGAACCATATTATCACTAATTTAAAGAAGCAAAAGATTTGAAATGTAGCGAGGAAATACTCGTCTTTCTCATTGTAGAGTATGAATGAAGCTTGGGATAGATTCATGCAAAATACTGTCCCCTGTGGACTCTAAAGGGCAGGGCTGCCAATCATGGTTCCAGCTCTTTCCTTAGGGCAGAGGCTAGAGAGAGTCTCCATTGCCCGTTTATCTAATAGGAATCCTCAGCAGAGGCCCCTCACCTATACCCCATAAGCCATACAGATTTTTGTTTCATTGTTTTTCTCAAAAGGCTGACTTTTTTTTTTAATGACTGGGTCTAGGTGATTTACAAGAAATTCCAAATACCCTGCCCTCTGCCTGTTCTGGATCACAGTGTTGGAAATCGGACATTCAACAACACACTTCCAATGCACGTGGTCATGCTACCCAACAACTCGGAGAGTAGTGGTGTGAACTTCATGATGGATTACACCCACCAGAAAACTGCAGGGCTAGATGAGAACCAGGCCAAGGGCTCTCCTCACAGCAGTGGAGTAGAGTATAAAGCACACAGTGATGACAAGTGTCAACCCAAATACTTTGTATTCAACTCCCGGGTAAGTGAGAGGCTTGGGCCTCTAACGAGCCTAGCGATGCGCCTCTGAGTTTTTATGTCATAAGCTGAGATGGCCTGGGATTGCCATCTGTGTTGGAATGCTAAACATGCTGTGTTGTCTTTGTTTTTCAGACCGCCTATGCAATTCCTATCCTAGCATTTGCTTTTGTATGCCACCCTGAGGTCCTTCCCATCTACAGTGAACTTAAAGAGTAAGGCAGCCATCCTTTTAGCACTCTAATTTGCTTTGAAAATGAGCTTATGTGTTCAAAGGTGCTTTATACAGAAGCATAGTTTATAGCTTTCTCTTCACGGAAAGTCTGTGCTACAGCCACTTATCAGTAATGTGCTTTAACCAGAAGGGTGTGAATCAGCCCCCTCACTGCATTACCTATTCTTCCACCCTAATGGTCCAGGGGAGAGGTTAAGAACTGGGGGAGGTGGAGCCAATGTCTGTAAGGATTTGGGTAGGCATGGGGAATTAGAATTTGAATTTTGGCGGAAAGAAGTGATGTTACCTAAACTGGATATGACCACACCCATGAAGACCAAAAATTATAGTTAGGGTGGCCTTGCTAAGCCACTGATATCACTTGTGGTCAATTCCTAACCCTTGCCTACAAGACATTCACCACAGAGGTGTGCCAATATCTGGCCTTCATTATCTTATCTGTACAATGGAGACGCTGACTAGACAACCCTGTTTCTTCCAGCTGATAGTCTATGATTTATTAATACTCTTTTCCCTTTGAGGTTGTTGACATCTACTTGGGGATGAAATGGACCTGAGCCCACTAGAACAGCTTCCCCTTTTACCCTTAGGGGACGGTGTCATATAATAATTCTCAATTTCTTTAACCCGGACATCAATAACCTCAGTCTTTATTCTCACTAAATAGCAATAACTTTCCCCGTAAATTCTGATTTACCTCATAAAATATTTTTGGAACACTTTCAAGTATTTTGATGTCTTTGATTTACTTGAAAAATCATATGTAGCAGTTACTCTAGAGGCCTGACAATTGAATTTAAGAAGCTGAGTGCTCTCTGGAATGGTTTCCAGAAGCTGTCCAGGTAACAATATCAGGCTTCCTGGTAGTCTGAACTCCTGGAAGTAGTGCTTAGCAGATTCTAGTAGGTTCTTGTCCTCATTAAATCCATCTCACTGTGAAATATGAAGTCTTCTACATCAGGAGCCAGTTTGATCTTCATGTTAATTACATTCTTAGATCCTCAGTAGACATGCTTACTTATCAACATGAAATAAACTGGTCCTCTTCTAGGAAAATGGTTGTTTCTAAGACTGAAGGTGTAGTGATTAAGAAAAATGGAAACAAATCCTCCACAGCTCTCTAAGATAAATTTAAATAAGCTATATTTCTGCACTAGAGACGTGGTTTTATAATGAGCAACAGAGACATACAATCATTATTTTTTTTATTTTGATTGTAAAAAGTGATATTTTCATAAGTTTGAAAAAACAAAACTCAGTGTTCTTGTTCTTTTCAGTCGGTCCCGGAGGAAGATGCAAACAGTGTCAAATATTTCCATCACAGGGATGCTCGTCATGTACCTGCTTGCTGCCCTCTTTGGTTACCTAACCTTTTATGGTAGGTCACTGTGTCACAGTCATTCTCTTTGTGCAAATCCTAGTTGGACTGATCATTAACCCGGGTAGGTATAATTCTTTTAATTACCCTCTATAAGCAGCATGATCTGTAGATACATGTTTTCAATTAACCTACTGTTTTAGCTTTGTCACTTGACCTAAGAAAATAGGACCTGAACTAGCCTGGCTAACGGGCTACAACAGTTTGTGAATTCACACATATTTTATAAAAACCACCCCTCAAATTTAATTATTTTCCTTAAGGGATAAATTATATTTATTTGGCTTGACTCTCTAGGCCATCTCAAGCTAGAAGCAATAAGAGTGAATCCAATTGCATGTTGTAAAGTTGTTTTGGTGGAGTAACTAACTACCAAACAAATGGAAGAAAAAGTACAAAGTCCTTAAGCTGGGACTTGCTTTTTATTTACCAGTCAAATGGAATCTGGGGGCTTAGAGCATTAGGCAAATTTTCTGGCTTATCGCATTCTGTTCGGTTATAGTGAATGGTTTCCTCAGAAAAGAGAAGGACATGACAGAATTCCCTTCAATCTAAGAATGTACTACCAAAACAAAAAGTGACTATGGCCACATTAGATTTTGCCTGGAACGTTTCCTCTGTGGCATCTTAACAGGACACAAAAGGAGTAGGATTCCCTTCCATGAAGCATGACCCTGTAGACTAATTTCAGGGAATCAAACATTGACCTGGTAGCAGATGTTTACACTAATCAATGCTCTCAACACAACTATATTTTTTGTATAAAACTCTCTAACATTTTGGATTTTTTTTTGACTGATATGGTAAATTAAATTGATTGAAAGACAAATTAGGGAAGAAAGGTCTGGGGGGGCACCATTTGCTTGGATTTTATTCTATTTGACTAATATTTGGCTGTTAACCAAGCACTCACTTTAGATTGGACATTAACTCCTTGCTGGTTGCAAGTTAATGCAAGTCAAGTCAATACCATGGAAGGTATTTTTACCCCCCTTTGTCTGATTTTGAAGGCAGTAGTGGGAAAATCAAACTACATCTGATTCTATAAGCACCTCCATGTCATTTGTGTCTGGAATTCTGAATGAATGTGTTTTCCAGGAGGGCTGCATCTTAATGTTAGAGCAATATTCATTGGAAGACTCTGTAAAAATCATATTAACTCATTCTTGCATGTTACTTATACTGACTCTAATGAGTTTCAAAAGACAAGCAAAAACTTGAAAAAGCCCAAAAGTATGTGTATCAGTGTCATGTTGGAGTCATAACATTGAACGTGAAAAAATTAAGTTAGAGATCATTTGTTCTAGGATTTCCCTACTGGTTTTGGAGCAGCTATGTCAGGGATCGCTGGGCAGGTGGGAGCAGAGGAGGGTGGCAGGATGTGAGGGACAGGCTGGTGGGTCTTGGGCCTTTCACACCCTCCAAACAGAGCACTTCCACTTGTTATCTGTTTTGCGATGCTTCTGAATAGCAAAGGTAGCTAGCTGGAGAAGCATCTTAATAATTTTGTATTGGCTCCTGCAACTTTAAACTTCAGGGTTGCTTTGATCACTTGAACAAAGGTCACACAGCTAATAAGCTCTGAGACAGGATAAAAATGGAGGTGTCTGGATTCCCAGACCTGGGTTCTTTCTGCTGTACTGTGTTCCCTCTGTAAAATGTCGCCATAGATAACCAGTGCCAACTTGACAACACCCAGTGGACTCATTCTCTTCTTCCTCTTTGTAGGAGAAGTTGAAGATGAATTACTTCATGCTTACAGCAAAGTGTACACATTTGACATCCCTCTCCTCATGGTACGCCTGGCGGTCCTCGTGGCAGTAACACTAACTGTTCCCATTGTCCTGTTCCCAGTAAGTACATGAAGCTTTGATGAAAGAATCCTGCTTGACCCCATAGATTAGTACATGAGTTCTGACTTGATGTGGATTTAGTTATAATATGAGTTTACAGTTGCAATGCCCAAGGACTTTATTATTTTTATGTAGCATTTTGTAGCCATTTAAAATGGACCATTTAATATGTAGATATAGCAAATATTTTTAGATGTTAAGTATTTTTAAAGTGAAGGGAAAAAGTCACAAAATTTATTTCTATTTTCCAGTTTTATTGAGGTCAAAATTTATTTTTAAACTCAAATTCAAAAAGCAGTTCTTGAATTTCTCTCTTGTGGATCAGTAGAAATGAGTAGGAATTCACATAACTTCTGAAACTTGAAAGCCAAAACCACATTAACCTTTGAATCATATTGCATTTTCACCACAGTTTTGAAGATATCTCACTTTTTCCCCCCAGTTTGTTGTGCTGCAGTAGCATCCAAAAGTCACCTTATTTAATGTGATTCCTTGAAGGCTAATGAGAAGGGGATTCATGTTAAGTAAATTACATACTAGAACCAAGTTTCTTGAGAAATAGTTACATTATCTGTCATATGTCTCTTCTATTGCCCCCAAAACTGACATGTGCCCTCTGCCAGACTTGTTCTGAGATGGCCCCTTCTTGGCATTTGCCGTTGGCGTCAGTTGTTCTGGAATCACAGAGCAGGGCTGGTTGCGGATATTTGGGCTACATGAGTTAAAACCACCACCTATGGATAAACACAAGTCTGCAGTCTCCTGCCAACTCTTCTCTTTTCATAAACACTGAATTTACTCATTCATTTTAGGGGGAAAAATAAGCAACACAGTAAGCAGCACTGTCCTGTACAGAATGTTCCATAGGGCCTAGCCTATGAGGACAACTCATATAACGACACTGTGGTCACTTTAAATGCAGCTTGTGTGCTGAAATATTTTTTGGCACATTCCTTTCTCATGAGTGCATGAAATCAGATCCTATGACTATGGCAGCTCATATTTTACTCTTAAATAATGTCTTGCCTCTCATATATCTGAAGGTATTTCAAACGACAGGCACACAGCTTTAGCCTAAAATCAGCTCCGTGGTGGGCACAAGGCAGAAGACAGCTGTAGACAGGAAGTGTATCGTGGGGTAAAATTCCAAGCAAACAGCGTCTCTGAGAAGAGTATATCTGCAGCCCTTGTTTTTGTGTGTGAAGATATCACTAACTAAATTGTGGCACACAGTAGGCACTCACATCACTGCTGAATCAAAGCACTTTATAAAAGAAATCTGTGACGTGCTTCTATATGGCTTTATTCATAAGCCCTAAATATAGTGCTTTCAAGTCGTGGTCTCAGGAGATTAATGGACTTGGCTGTGGTCATGCAGCTAGTTGGTAGCAGTTGAACTAATCCAGCGCTCAGAGCGTGACACTGATGGCTGCATCATAATAATGGGAAGTGAAAGTCAGCCTTTCATTTACTAATGACCGTTTCACCTCAACATTAAAAATCCAGATCTCCCCGTAGAAATTCTTCCCCTATAAGACGGATAAGGCCCTGGTGTAAATCTGACCATCAGGAAGGGCAATAGTTTGTAAACATCTCCCATTAGATGTCCGTTAGAATCAGAATTGACCATTAGAACCAAATTTCAGAAAAATAACTAACCTCTCCTTTTTTATGTATTTTCACTCAACAGTAGCATCTATGAAACATTTTGTACATAATTCTGTCTTCACCCTTACAGCGTTACATTGAGATGATCTGTGTATCAACTTTTCCTCTGGGTTCTAAGTCCCTGGAGGCTAGGGATGTGCATAGTGACTGATGGGCACAGGATGAGCCCAGCAATGTTTGCTAAGGAAAATGGTCTCCAAATGAGTCCTGCCTTTTCCTGAGACATATAAACTACCTTTTCTAGCAAAAGCATAGGCTACTCCCCTTGCCAACATCTGCCATGAACTTCGGTTTGTGTGAGGATCCTGGCTAAATGAACCAAGCCTCCGTGGATGTGATGGATGACATTAAAGGGGGTCCAGCCTCCTTGTCCCAGTCAAGTCCCACAAGGCTACATTCAGACACTTTTTCCCTAAAGTAATAGAAGTTGTTAGCAGTGTTTTTGTTTGTTTCTTACAATTTAGAGCCACAATGTTCAATGTGTCAAATGCTGAGTCACAGCTCAGTTCTCCTGACAGGTTTCTTTGAATTAAGAAACTCTAGACCAATAAGTTTATTGACTTTGCCTTGATATCCCCACATACAAATGATAAAACAAACAAAACCTAATCTGGATTAAAATCTATCGGTTTTACTTATTATTTTGTATTCTTCTTCTTTCAACAAATGATAAATGGGCTCGCTTTCTTAGGAGCCCAGGAAAAGATGACAAAGGTTTTATTGGTGGTGTCTGGTTGGTTGGTTAGTTTTTCCTTTCATTACTCCATTTATTATCTTTCTTTCCTCAAGTTAGATTAGTTTTTTCCTTCTTAATGTAAAACACAAAAGTAACTGCTTGAAGTGTTTGTTGAACAAATGAATAAATGAAGTGAATTAAGACCAGCTTTTTCACTAGCAGCCCAACATTTTTTTTCCTCTTTCTTACTGTGGGGCAGGGGTGTCTATTACGGGACTGCACCTCCTTCCCAAGGACCCATAATGCCATTTTCAGTTTGTGCTTCCTTTTATGCAGTAAAATTCACACATCACCATGAAAAACAGAAAACCAAATAATCCTAACAGGTTTATCAAGAACATACAGACTCAAATTCCACCTGCCACCCCTTTAAAAAAAAAAAAAAGTCACGTCTCAGACTCTCTAGCTACTTCTATTTCATTTTGTCATAGTAAAATCATTCTTTTCACGTATGTTGCCTTTAGATCTCCTGTTTTGAAGCAGATGTAGAGATAGGCATAGAAATATGGCAGATGATGCTGTGAACTGGAATAGAGTGGCGATCTATGGGTATTTCCAACACTCTTGTCCTAAGCAATCCTGCAAAATAAAACTGATTCACTTCTAAGCAATAGAATTGTTTTTTTTTTTTTTTTAGAGTTCAGAGCTCAGGCTCCCACTTTTCACTCTGCCTCTGCGTTTCTAACTTTCACATTGGGTCCCCACGTTAAAACACAGCACCTCCTAACAGACTCCATTTCCCTTCTATTCCTTTCCACTGCCACCTACCACCACCAGCAGCCTACTTGCTCCCTGTTGCTCTCTCCAAGAATGCATTGGCAACTCTATATGTCTTCAGTTCTATTTTGGATTTTGTTATTCCTTATTCACTCCGAGGAGCAAGCTTTCTCCAATTACTCCAACCATTACTCCTGTAAACTTTCTGTATTCTTACATCATTAGGCCAAACCTGAGTCTTTCTGAGACTCTTTCTGAGACTTTCTGAGCCATGAGACCTTAGGAAGTTGCATTTACATTCGGAGGCCATGTACTTATACGGTTGCCTCTAACTCAGCTTACTGAATTAAATGCAGTATTTTAACAAAAGACTGAAAAGCACATACATGTGCCCTCTGCCTAAAAATAATCTGTATTCTCCTTATTTATTCTATAAGTTTAGCACTTCAGACAAATAAATCCTTAAGCACTATGTATGTAGCATAGAAAGCTTATGATAAGCCTACCCATTAGACGAGTTTGGACAACACTGAATATGCATTAATTGTAGGTCATAACGTAGAATTTATAGGCTGCTGGGAAAACGAAATCAAACCATTTGCTTTGCTCAGTCTACTTTTCAGAGTGAGTTTCATAATTTTTGCCAATTCAATTTTTAAAATCGTGTACAAACTCACTCTTACACCATTTCCAGAGACTCTCTGGTTTGCCGTTCTGGAAATGAAGTGCCTTTTAAACCTAAACAGGTGGCTTTAATTTTTGGTGGAGTGGTATGAAAGGGACGACACGTTAGACACCGCAAGCAATTCAGCTTGAAGCTTTTGTCATTCGTATGTGTGTTTCAAAATATCATTTACATTTTCTCTCTTTGAAATGAGTTCCCATTCCACACCATTAAGACACTTGAGAAGTAAAATTTGAGAGTGAAAATCAACCCCAGCATTTCTAAAAATGTGGAGTCCTAGCTTAACTGACGTGCTCACCTATTGAAAAGCCAATAGACTAAAGTGTCCTCTAAAAGATTCCAAAAGATAAGAGTAATTTCAACTTTGTTCAGCTGTTGAGACATAAACAGCACTCCCTCCCTCTCTCTACTCACAGGGATCTTTTTATCCAGTTACATCAGAGTAACTTGAGCCACTGCTGCAAACGGAACCTCTTGACCCTTCACCTAGTTATTTCAGCCGCTGAAATAGGCTGAAGTCTGTCAAGGACCTCCGGAGGGGAGGGAAAAGATTCATTCTGTTAATTTAATTCAACATTTATTGAGTGCCTGCTGTGTGCAAGACACCAAACTAGAAATTTTGAGGAGTGTTAATATCATCAGGTCCTGTTCCCTGCCCTGTGCATATATAATCTGTTGATGGGGGCAGGAGTAAAGGGGAGAAAGAGAAAGGCGTAAATACAAAGAGTATCATATTTTTTTAAATATCGGTTGGCAGAAATGTTAAAGAAAATGTAAAATTAAAAAAACCCAAGTTTGGAAAAATTCCGTTCACAATCACGTGCAAATCAATTCAGTGCTTGCCCTTCATACTTGGCCCAGTCTGATGAGACATAATTAGAAATCAACAAGGGTTTGACTGTATCTCTGAATTATATATCTTACCTGTTATTTTGCCTCTTTCTGACTGAGATTATTTTTAAGAAAAAATTCTGAAAGCTGAGAATGTAAGCACAAGACGTATCGCCAAGGAAAAATGGCACTATCTCAAATATGAAAAATCAGCATCAAGGCTGCACAACGATATGAATGTGCTTAATACCACTGAACTGAACACTTCAAAATGGTTAAGATGGTAAATTTTATGTGTGTTTTACTACAATAAAAAAATTCAGAAAAAAATGAGCACCAAGATCTTTTCTGGGAAAAAAAGAAAAAACAGAAAATGCTTTAGAGGGGTGAGAATATTTGAAATAGTAGATAAAGTCAAAAGCAAAGCAGTGACCTTGCCTTTGAACTTTGTTGCAGATTCGTACATCAGTGACCACACTATTATTTCCCAAAAGACCCTTCAGCTGGATAAGACATTTCCTGATTGCAGCCATACTGATTGCACTTAATAATGTTTTGGTCATCCGTGTGCCAACTATAAAATACATCTTTGGATTCATAGGTAAGTTTCAGAAAGGCTTTTATTTAGTCAACACAAGCTGATACCTCCTTAAAGGGCAGACAGGAATCCAGAGCTGGGAGATCAAGGATCCCCAGTCCATCTCAGCTCACAGGATTCCTATTAGCCCAGCTGGGCTCCAGCTGCTCACTTTCCCTTCCTTCCAGGTGACACTGGAGATTATTCACAGGATCAGAAAATGTTAGCGCTAGGCTACCTTATAGTTCATCTAGTCCAGCTGCCTTTTCTGACAGATGAGGAAACTGAGCCCCGTAGAAGTCAAGCCATACAACTTGGAGGGGACCCAGGATTTGGACTTAGGTCTTAACTCTGCATCAAAAAGTAAAGAAGATAGGTTTAACCTACAAGATGCTCTCTCAGATCTGTGAGTATCAGCTGAGCATTAAAGGATATCTTTAAAGGAGGAAGAGGAGGTTGACTTTGTAAAGCATATTTCCCTTAACTATGTGTCCTGTTAGTATATTTAATTTTTCATTCTGCTGATCTGAGGGATTACTCAAATTTAAAATACAATATAAAACTTTGAAAAATTAGGTGTAAGCAGCTTGAGAAGTTAGAAGTGGGTAGGAAGAGTGTGCAATGGGTTCAGCCTCCTTAGTATGTATTTCTATTACTAATTTCCTGTAAATTTGTAACATTTAGCCTTTTTATTGTTTATTATGTGTTATGTATACTTAGTCTGCAGCTAAAGTTAGGTGCATTTTAATTTTCTTTATCAACGTATTTTCTTTGAATAAGCCACCAAGACGAGCTTATAGAGCTTTTACTGCTAGGGTTGGGGTAGCTTTAGATTTGGTTTCTTTAAAGAGCGTGCCCCTGGTCTCTGCCTTGCTGAGCCAGACCCGCTGTGTACGACATTGACCTGTCCTGTGTTTCTCTCCTCAGGGGCTTCTTCTGCCACTATGCTGATTTTCATTCTCCCAGCAGTTCTTTATCTGAAACTTGTTAAGAAAGAGCCTCTTAGGTCAACCCAAAAGGTCGGGGTAAGTAAGGCTTGCAATTTCCCCCGTTATGAGTTGCTCTTTGACAACTTAGACTAAACCGGAAAATGCATGTGATTCAAAAAAATGAATCGATGGATAAGAACCAAAAATCAAAGGTGGGCTGGAGCTCTCTGGCAGAGAGAAGAGGGGTAGATTTCTGGTATTCCGATGATTCCAGGATTTCTTCCTTTCGAATATCAAATATCTTAGGTTGAGTCCTTCCTACCTGTCAAATGCTAGTGGAGTTTTCCCACAGGCATACATGCGCACCAGTTTCCACCCCCGCCAAGCCATTGCTGCACTGTCTACAGGAAATTATGCAGGAAGGATTTAGGCTCCCTAGCAGTGTTATGAAATAATTTCAACATTTTGGTCTCATTTGTTAGGTTTGTAAGGCCAGAAAAATGATGTTGCTTTTTTCCCCCTCTGCAGTACCTTGTTATCCCCTGGTGTGAACTAAGATCCAGAACAGCACCATTCGTTTTCCAGTTAACTTCTCTAGATATACAATACAGTCTTATTAAACTAGAGAGTATATGTTTCTTTTCTGTAGCAGTACTACAAAAACATATACTAGAGATAATTTTTTTCCAGTAATTAAATATTATCAATGACGGCTTAATAAAGTCTTATATTAAGACTTCAAATGAATGCCTCTTACTGCATTACCCTGAATTTCTCAAGAAGTCATTCACCTCTTGGGATTGTTCAGGGATTTCAGGACAGTTTGATATCAAAAGCTCCTCCTATCATCTCAGCCCCACATTTCCAGTCTATGTAGTCCATCTTAGTTGGACTTTTATAGCAGTGTCACCTTGGCAAATTACTTGTCCTGCTCGTGACCCATTTTCAATATGGCAAGATGTAAAAATGAGTAAAATTATCTCCTAGATTCTTTATAGTGAAAAAAATTTTAGCTATTGCTTCCTCATATATAGAATTAGGTGGTTGATCTGTGTGGTAATATATAAGTCCCCTTCTATCATTAAAATTCTGAAATGTGTATTACATACACACACATACATATATACACACTTTGGGTTTTTTTCAAGGAATATGCAACAAAAATTGGCTTTTGTTTTTATTTGTTTGCTTTATAAAATTTAATACTACTCTTTTATGACCTGCCCTTTTTCACCTAAAAGATTGTGAGTACTGTTTAGGTCATTAATCTTTTTCTACCACTTGATTTTAATGATCACAGAATATTCCATCATTTTGATGTACCAAGTCAATTAACCATTATTCTATTTTGAACATTTTGGTTAAATCTCTCCACTGTATTCACCCTCTTTTCCCAACAAAGGTTCTAAATTGACTGAACTGCTAGGCATGGGCATCTGAGCTATAAGAATAATACAATTCAATATGCAAATGAGATTGCAGCCTTAGGTAAACAACTTATAAAAGCAAACTATGCTAAGTATGGTTCCTGTGTTCCCTAACAAGTTTTCTCTAACTTACAGGCTTTAATTTTCCTTGTGGTTGGAATCATCTTCATGATTGGAAGCATGGCGCTCATTATCATTGACTGGATTTACAATCCCCCAAATTCCAAGCATCACTAACCCAAGGGAAAATACTTTCTTTTTCTGTTGGAAATGGTTGCAAATTATGCTCCAAAAGACATTTGAGTTTCCTTATTGGAATGTTATTCATAGGTAATAACAGGAAGATTCCAAAAATGTTTACTAGTAACATCACCAGTCACCTGCAGAAGAGAAAATCATCATTTTTATCAAGAATGGCTGTTTATATGTTTAAAATCTGTGGTGCACATTTCTCCCCAGGTTGTACTACAGCAGTGTGAGATGATGTATTTTTGCTGCTGGACAAGCAGAATAAGGGTAACTGCATGTATGGTCATCAGATAATACCCTTCACCCTCCCCCTCCCCTGTTCTCCCCCCAGAAAAGTACTAAATACTTGGATTCTCAGAACAGCAAGCAAAAGTTCCCTGGTGGCAAAGCTATCACCACTAAATGCCTTCTCCTAGTCTTACACCAAATACCCTGGGTCTGTTTAATAGCAGAGGCAAAAGGCATGTCTTATAAACTGTCCCTATAAGACACATGAATGATCGGACACCAGGCTAGAACATCTTATTGTCAACAGTAAAGGAATATTTTGCCCATCCTGTTTGTGACATTGAATTAGTGACTTCTTCATTCAATAGATGTTTTTATAAATGTTAAAACATCTTACTAAACATAGAGAGGGGCTTTATTTAAATTATAGAGCAACAACAAAAATAATGCTTGTAGCTAAACTGCCTGTTCTGGAGTCATTTGCTTTTTAATGTTATTCCTCGTCCTTTTGTCTTACTTTGTCATTGAACAATGCCCTCCCTCTCGTCTTCCATTCTCATTCAGAAGTTTTAGAAGACCACGATTCATGTGGAGATACACTACCCAGTATTGTTTGATACATTTTTATTTGATAAATATTCAGTGCAGGAAACTGTGATTGCTATATGTTTATGTATATAATTTTATTCTGTAGTCATCAGAATTTTAATGTATGGTACATTTGATTTTTATTTTTTACATGTGTAGTTTTCTCTTTTCACAGTCAAAACATTTATATTATTGGGGTGGGGGGCAAGGAATTAAGTTGATGAGCCCAAAAATCCATTTGTATGTATCTGTCTATTGGGGATATTTTAAATTTGAGACCTAAGTTATATATAGTTCAGTAATGCTCTTCTTCAATGTTTACAATAACATCATAATCGTCTGTAAGAGAATAAATTCTTTATTTGCAAATAATTATCAATACTAAGGTTCTTTTAATTTATCATGTCTAAAATAGGACTTAGTTTATTTTAGCTTGCACAGCTGACATTCATTTGCCATTTAATACAATGTTGAGTAGTTCTCCATAAAAATAAAAGTGCTAACACTACAAAGAGATGCAAACTAATATTCTTGCTCACTTCTACAACATACTTACACGAAATGGATTTAAAAATTAGTACTCACTGCCTAAAATTTCCAGAGTTTGCTACTATTTGTTTTCAAATCAGTAGCAAGAACATTGGTTGTATATTTTATATTTTAGTATAGCCAATTATGAAATACAAGTATGATATAAGTATGATGATATTAAATCATATTTCAATAGTTTTTCTGGAATGTGCCTTAAGAAAACATATATTTGTTTTATGTATTATTTTCTAGAGGCATAATACTGTAAAATGGTGCAAAGCTATGGAAATTGAGCATTACTAGAAACTATCATAACTTTTGAGTTACTACTACTGGAAAAAATTTGCCAAATATCATCTTTAAGATATATTTTCATTTTCCTTCATCTAAAGAATGTATCAAAATAGAAAGGGAAAAAGGTACCTTCTGAGTGTTAAAAAAATGTTTAATCTGGTTGTATTTAAATGTAAATATCAAAGATTAATCCAAAAAATTGGAAAACTGTAAAATCTGTATATATTTTGAATGCTTTACATTTGAAATGACTAACTCAAAAATATCAACATGTGTAATTGTATAAATATTCAAGAGCAATAATATGTGCCAAATAATAAAGCACCATTTTGTTCTCATGGCCATTTTCTGGATTAGAGTTCATATAGACTGCAGGGCAGACATACATATGGTATCTTGTATTGGTTAATTTAACCCCATTTATAAACAGATGAAATTTTTATTTTCTTATTTCATTTATAAGATGGTTCAATGTATTGGGAGGCTTTTTTTTTTATTACAGAAAGTGTATATTGGTATATAATAAATGAACTTTTCAAATGACTAAGATGTGATTTTCTTTCTATTGTTGAAAGCTGTGAATTATTTGCACAGGAAAAAAGTTAAATCCAAATATTGTCTTTCCTGTGTTGGTATACGTTCCACTTTTACTGTTACTCTTGACATATAACTCATATCTATAGCTGTCCAAAAAATAGTTGCCATCTTATTTTGGCAAAATACACAGCTAACCCTAAATCATTTTTATTTTATGTCATCACATATTTACCTCCTAGAATGAATGTAGAAGAAATTAGTCTCTTTGTTGTTCATTTGGGAGAATTCATTTACAATGAAAAAAACAGAAAATAGAAGAAACATGAGAATAGTAAAAAAAGACGTGGAAGACTTGAGAGAAGGGAAAACAACACGGGAGTGCCGAGGATTGGGTAGAAAGGGACTGTTAGTGGGATTGACAGGTCATATGGTAAGTGTATGCTAAGAAACTTCCAAATAGTTCTCCAAAGTGGCTGGACCATTTTCATTTTCACCAGTAATATATATGAGTTCTGGTTGCTCCACATCCTTGCCAACATTTGGCATTCTCTTGTACTTTATAGCCTTTTGAGTGTGTGTATGAAATGGTATTTCATTGGAATTTTCATTTCCATTTCCCTGATCACTAGTGTTATAAACTTTTCATGTGTTTAATGGCCATTCATGTCTCCTTTTATGAAGTGTCTATTCAAATCTTTTTCCCATTTTTAAAATTAGGTTGTCTTTTTATTGTGGATTTGTCAGAGTTCTTTACATATTCTGGATACATGTCCTTTGTCAGATTGCAAATATATTTTCCCAGTCTGTGATATGCCTACTCATTTTCCTAAAGGTGTCTTAATTACATCTTTCTGGGGCCAGATCTTTATAGCTTGAAGTTCTGCAATTCCTGTCTTACTGGGATAAGATTAATTAGAATGGTCTTGTCATAATTAATGTTTGGATTTTCAAATTTGGAGGGTAAGAGTCTTCTTTCTTTCTTTTTCTTCTTTTTTTTTTTTTTCGTTGGTATACACTTTTGCCTTGTAGTTAGCTTTATTTAATGTATGCTAATCTAGTTCTTGTTTTATACAGATATTTTATTAACAATAACTTTTTCTAAGTCACTTTGAAGCCTGGTTAGGAAACCCAGTACTACCTAGATAGGCCCAGGACGTCAAAAACCCTTTCTGGCTACTTGTAATCAACTTTATATTAGTTTTCTCTGCTCTTGTTACAGGGACATATAGATGAAACAGGAGAAATGACTCCATTTGGTTCTTACTTACCAGCTTGGAAGTTCTGACATTTTCTCTTGACCCTGCATTTTCCTTCACATGCAAAAGCAGTTTGCATAGCCTCATGACTATCTTTTTCCAATAAAAAATTTTGTACTAATTATTCAATAGATAGTGTTGAAGAAACTGATTGAAAAAATTAGTTTAGAGCTTTTCTTCACACCTCACACCAAAATGAAAAAATTCAATATGAACGCCAAAACCAGCAGACATTTTTTCTATTTTTGGTGAGGAAGATTAGCCCTGAGCTAACATCTGCTGCCAATCCTCCTCTTTTTGCTGAGGAAGATTGGCCCTGGGCTAACATCTGTACCCATCTTCCTCTACTTTATATGTGGGACACCGCCACAGCATGGCTTAATAAGCAGTGCATAGATCTGCGCCGAGGATCCGAACCCATGAACCCCGGGCTGCCAAAGCAGAGTGCCCGAATTTAACCACTATGCCACCAGGCCAGCCCCAAAATCAGTAGACATTTTAGGAAGAACTATTTGATAGCTGCACGTGAAAGTAAAATACAATGGAAGAAATCACAAAGGCAATGATGAATACATACAACTATACAACAGTAAAAAATAATCCTGCACATTAAAGGATAAACAATTAAAAAAACACAAACTACTCTAAAATACAGACCCATATATCCTTTATGTATGAAGAGACAATAAAAATCAACAAGGGAAATACTAAGAATCTAGTATAAGAATGGGCAGTGGACATGAAATCACAGAAGAAAAATGAATGGTGAAGGAGTATTTACAAATAGTTTGACCTCACTATGAATCAAACACATGCAAGTAAAAACACAATTAAATACAATTGTTTTGTCTGTTATATTACTAAAATAAAGAAAAGATAACATTCTGTGCTGGTGAGTGTGGGGAGTTGAGCAGTCTCATTCAATGCAGAAATCTTGGCTAAATTTATCTGGAAAGCATTCTGGCGATACTTATAAAGATCCCTAAAAATGTTTGTAGTAGACAGAACGGCCCCTCAAAGATGATCACACCCTAATCCCTAGAACCCAAGAACATGTCACTTTACATGACGAATGAGTCTTCACAGATGTAATTGAAGTACAGATCTTAAAATAAGGAGCTTATCCCAAATAATCTAATCACATGATCCCTTAAAATCAGAGAACTTTCTTCAACTGCAATCAGAAACATTCAGTATGAGAAGGATTCAACCTACCTTTGCTGGCTTGAAGATGGAGGAGACCACCCGGAAACTGTGAGAAGGAAATGAATTCTGCCAACAACTTAGCCTCTAAATAGGAGCCCAGGGCACCAACATCTTGATTTGAGGCTTGTGAGACCCAAAGCTGAGTACTCTGCTGGGCCAGCCAGACTTCCGACCTACAGATCTGTGAGATAATAAATGAGTGTTGTTTGAAGCTGTTCAGTTGGTGATAATTTGTTGTGGCAGCAAGAGGAAACTATGAAATACAAAGTTCACGCATTTTGTTCCACTAATCTCTTTTCTAGGAATCTCTTCTTAGGAAATAATCAGAGAAGTGAATTGACTTTTATGTACTAATGTATTCTTTCAACATATAATGGATTACAATTTTGAAATACTCCAAATGCCCAAAATTGTGGAATGATTTAATAAATTCGAGTACCTTCATAGGCTGGACTATGATGCAGTCATTAAAAATTTTTTTGAATAATCAATAATGAAATAAAAAACTATGGTATGATATTAAGTGAAAAACAACAAGAATAAAAGCTCTATTATCTCAATTTTACATACTAAAAATGCATGGAGTAGAAAAATAGGAATAGAAAAAAAGGAAATAGACCTAGAATGTTAGAAGTAGATATTTGTAGGTAGCAAAATAGTAAGTAATGTTAGTTTTGGTCTTCATACGTTTCTGTTATTTTCCAAATTTTCTACAAAGACCATATATTCCTTTTCTAGTTAGGAAAAACTTTTAAGAAAAAGAAAAGTTTTTCCGCCAATTTATATTTTCTGGAAAAAAAACTAAAGCATGCTGCCAATTCGTATACATTTTTATATTTTCAGCTGAGTCTAAAGGCAGAATTGGATGAAACTGCAATTCACAACTAAGGAACAGGCATTGATGACTAAAGCAGAAGCTGAAAGGATGGGGCAGACCCTGGCCAGAGGTGGGGTTGGGAAGAGATAGGAAGGACTTGTTGAAGAAAATGGTGTAGCATAGCTAGTAGACCAGGACTTGAGTCCCAGACCCATGTTTTGGGCAAGTCATTCAATCTGTTGAGCTTTAGTTTCTTCATTCTTGTTGAAATAATTTCTGTGTAAAGCAGTTCCCAAGGTCATTTAGCTTGGAATCATTGGAAATATCGGAAGATCCTTGTAACAGTCGCATCTCTAGTACAAATGTTTGGCAATAGTCATAAATGAAGGATCATCAGAGAGCTTCAAAGCATACCTTACAGCAATGATTTCTGTAGCTCAGTCTTGAAAGTGAGTAGATACGTCAAATGTTTCTGAGGAATAATATGCCTGGCCACTCGGGCTGAGTAATTTAGTGGACAAACATTTATTCAGTGAAGACCATGTGCCAGATACCACCCTAGGCACAAGAATACAGAGTAGTCTAGGTCTTTAAGGAGCTTACAGTCTAGAGGAGGGACACATATATATAGATAGTTACAGTATAAAATGGAAAATGCTAGATTATATACCCCACGAAACTAGAAAAAGAAAAACAAAGTAAGCCCAGAGCAAGCAGAAGGATAAAAATTAGTAAAGATAAGAGCATATATCTGAAATCAAAAATAGGAAAATAGAGAAAATCAATGAAACAAGAGCTGGTTCTTTGGAAAACTCAATAAAATTGATGAACCTCTAGCAAGACTGACAAAAATAAAAAGAGGAAAAAAAAAGCATTGTGTCTCAATCTAATTGGCAGCAGTTTTCCTCTTCTAATGGTACGTAAGATAATGTACATCTTAAAACAAAAAAAAAACTAAATTTAATAAAATATGCTTTTTGTAAAACAAAAACAAAAACAAAAACAACCTTATTAGCCTTCTGTGGTCCAAAGAGTACGGGCCCCATTTTTTCTAAAGTTTCTGTACACAGTAGTACAAAATGGTGGGTACCATCACCATGTGCCACTCTAATTCTAGGATGGCAGTGAGTGTGCATGCGTGTGTGTGTGTGTGTGTGTGTGTGTGTTTTGAGGTAGGATGGAGGGGGCCAGGTCAGAGCAAAGGGAAGATACAAAAGGTAACTAAGTAAAACATGAACTCACTGCCATCTGAATTTTTTTCCAAATCAGTCTGATTCGGGTCTAATTGATTAGCTTAGTAGACTCATAGAAAGAAAATATTATATCCAATTTACTGGAGCGAAATTTAGGACCCAGGAATGAGGGAGTAACAGCAAAATAATCGCCACATTGCAACTGGCCTCCTGCTCTCTGCACATCCCACGCCTGGCTCAGGCAGTGAGTAGCTCTAGCAATAGGGCTCCCAGACAGCAATCTTTAAACTGAGTTTGACATTTAGTATGATTGCCACTAAGCTGGAGTTTCTCCACCAGCTCTGGGGAGGGTGCAGGGAGAAAGACAGAAACCCAATTCTTCCCTGTCCAGCATGACTCAGCCTCCCTGGCACAGCTTCACGGAGCATTTTATCAGGGTCCTTTGTGAATAAGCTACTTGAGACTGATTACTTTAAGGCCAGGTTCCTGGTATTGTCATCCCGAAGTAAAACTTGACTGGTTTCCATAAAGTAA